TTTTCTCTGGGTACATGCCCAGTAGTGGGATTGCTGAGTCATATGGTAGTTCTATTTTTAGTTTTTTAAGGAACTTCCCTACTGTTCTCCACAGTGGCTGTATCAATTCACATTCCCACCGACAGTGCAGGAGGGTCCCCTTTTCTCCACGCCCTCTCAGCATTTCCTGTTTGTAGACTCTTGATGGTGGCCGTCCTGGCCGCTGTGGGGTGGCGCCTCATCGTAGTCTTGTATGCGTGTCTCTGTCGGATATACAGGCAGACTTTTGTAGGCACCCTGGGGAGTTAACCGCCACTCATAAGAGTTTTTAATATGGAGAAAATGTATTCCAATTCCCAACAGGCAACTTACAAATGCTCTTGCAAAAATACAACCATTTACAGTTGGTAAACATCTTGTATTTAGAAGCCAGTTTTATCACGTGGACAACTTTTGATCATGTTTGCTACTGTCAAAAGAGAGATAAATTAACAATTTGTGTTAAATTTTTAAAAATTTCTTTGATGTGAATGCTCAGTTTTGATTCAGGTTAAGTAGGAAAACAGCAGAGTGCATAAAAAGGAATCCTGAAACAGGGTCAGGAGATCTCGTGTCCTGAGTCCTCTTCATGCACTAACTTGAAAAGACACTGAGCGTGTCACTGATCCCCTCTCTGCCTGTGTTTCGTCCTCATACAACAAGGATAATGACCCTGTCACATGCTACATTATTAGAAGATGATAGATATCAAGGTATTTGAAAATGTGAAAAACACATGGACTGCTTAAATCTACATGAGTACTAATTTCTGTAACTTTAAAATACACACCTATACAGCTTACTTTAAGACTCTTGGAGTTAACCAGAGTAGCCTGTTATTAATTGAATCATCATCATCATATTACTGTAGAAGTTTTCTTTTAAGACAATATGCTATGTGGAAAAGTATTGTATAGAAGGATGGTGATTGGAATACACAAGTGTTACTGATTAATATCTTTCCCGCCCTCAACTCCAGATACTGTCTCTCTCTGCCTTTGGTTTCCTAGATGTGGTAGAGAAGCATATCTCTAGCCTTTGATCTCCACAGAAGTTACATTCGACTCCTTCCTGTGTGGATTTTCACACTCCACTGCTCTCTGGTAGGATAGAGAGGTGTATCGTGCTATGTATTCCCTTTACTACCAGAAGGTCTGGGTTTAAGGTCACGGTCCACTGCTTACTTGCTTGGAACCCTAAACTCTCAAAAAGTCTCAGTTTTTGCAGATTTAAAATGAAAAAAAAAAAGTAACTATTCAACGAAGTCTTTGTGAAGCTTAAATGAGATAACGGGTGAAACAGAAGCACAGCACTTGACACGTAGCTTGTGTTCAATGGATATTTTATTTTTTAAAAATATTGCATCCCAGTGGTCTAACACAAAGGACCCTGTCTGTGGCTGAGAGAATGCCTGGTGTGGCTGCCAGCCTGAACCTTCTCACCTAAGCCATCGCCCAGAGGGGTCCAGGGCTCTGCAGAGCACAGAGCTCCCCGCCTCTCCCTGGCACTCTTGCCACACCCTCCATCAGGTCCTGCGCAAACCAAGGATCCATTGTACCGTCATGAAGAGTGGCAGCAATGCCTTCTCATGGGTTCAAATCTGCTTTCCAGCCTGGGCATTAAAGAATTGGGATCATCCTTCTTTATTTACAGATGTTATTTTACTTCTCTAATTCTCCCTTTATTTGTCTGCCAAGAGAGCTCATGTAGTTTTATTATAGCAGCTTTCAGGAATTTCTGGAGCACTCTGACTTTGAGTTTGCTGCCTCTCTATCTCTCTCTCTCTCTGTCTCTCTCTGTGTTTGTCCCTGTCTCTCCCTGTCTGTCTCTCATTAACTTTGGAGTCAATCTCACCCTGTATTTACATAAAAATCTTAAGTTACACATAACAAGTGTCAAGAGCTTCACTCAACACCAAACACCAACGCTTTCAAAGTACATATTTCAAAACAGTGTTTAACAAGATATAATATTATTTGGTATGGCTCTCATTATACGACATCCTAAGTAGAACCAAAATCCCATTTTATTGAGATTTTCTGTAATAAAAAATACATCATAAAGCTGTTGCCCATCTGACAGAAAGTAAAATAGCTGCAGACGCAGACATAACACTACTTTCTAACATTTGATGCCTGTGCCTGACCCCATGGACTGTCTCTCCTCTTCACAGTCTATTAAAACCAATAATATGAGCAAATCTATCATCCAGGAAGACTGTCTGTGCTACATGAAAGCTCACAATGATGATACGTCATTTTGTGTAGAAACTTTGACCCTTTTGGAACATTTATCATTGCTATGCGAGAGTGTGCCCATCAACACGTTTACTGTATGCGGACCTAGCACCCATTATTTTACTCAAAAATTGCCGAATTATCTGAAACCTTGAAAACTGTGTGAAGCGATAAATTTTTAGAAAGCTTCTGACATTTTGCCACTCAAACACTACATAATTTAATGCAAAATGACATAAGTTATACCTCTTAACAAGTTGACAGTTTGTATGTTGGAGAATTCTATAACCTATATCTTAATCCTTGAAAAAAATCAGTCTTTAAAGGGAATTGCTGGAAAACTGTAATTTAAGCAGGGAGTCATGAGTATATACGTTTGCTACAAATTGTACAGAGTGGATACAGCTATGTTCCTATCTATGTTTAGTATGTTTCTTACTATAGGATGATTTTATATCAGGTATTGTTAACAGAAGAATGTGACACTGGTAATAGAATGTCACCAAGCTGTTGACTCTTTTAAAAAAGTCAACCAATTATATATAATGCTAGTGGACTTTTCACAAAACTACTTTTCATAGAGCATAACACTGACTAGTCATTAATTCATTATTAATAATATAACATTCCATTTTTAGGCATTTATGTATTTGTTTTATATTTAAATATTTTATATTTATTAATTTTTCCTTAAATTACTATACTTTTACCCACAACAGTATTGTGTGACATTTTAAAACCTTAGAAAATACAGTCTGTTTCTTTGACAGATACTTAGTGAGATCTACTCAGTAGCAGATACTGTATAAGGCAAATGAGATACACAATATTGGGAGGGATGCTTCACCCAGTCAGGGAGTGCCTTCCCAAGAAGTTGATACCAACCATCTGAGGGAAGAAGAGGTATTTTGCAGTGGGTGGAGAGCATTGCAGACAGAGGGGACTATTTATTGAGAGGTTCTATGGTCTGGTCAGGTGACTGCAAATGGTTCAGTAACCTGGAGTAGAGAACAAATAAATAAAAGACCTATATACTACGGACTGTCCTGCTAGGTGCCTTAACCTATACTGTCCAGAAAGTTTACATCAGTTAAATAAGATAGGTTTATCCAGTCTCGTTTTGTAAGTAAACCTAATGTTTAACAATATTACATCATTTGGGACTTCCCTGGTGGTGCAGTGGTTAAGAATCCGCCTGCCAGTGCGGGGGGAGATGGGTTCGATCTCTGGTCCGGGAAGATCCCACATGCTGCGGAGCAACTAAGCCCGTGCGCCACAACTACTGGGCCCATGTGCTGCAACTACTGAAGCCCGCACACCTAGAGCCCGTGCTCCGCAACAAGAGAAGCCACTGCAATGAGAAGCCCGCACACGGCAATGAAGAATAGCCCCCAGTCACCACAAGTAGAGAAAACCCGCGCGCAGCAACAAAGACCTAACGCAGCCAAGGGAAAAAAAAAAGTGCTCAAAGAAGACAAAAGCCAAAGCAGAATTCTACGCTAGTGAGAACATCTGTGAAGAATGAAAGTGAAATAAAGATATTTTCAGATAAAAGAAAAAACTAAAAAAATACTATTAAAAAAAATTACATCATTTGTCTAAGGTTAAATCCTACATTGAGGTTGAACCCAAATCTAACTACATCTAAAGCCTGTCCTCTTTACACTGTACTAATTTTGTTTTGTTACTATATATTGGATATTTAATAAGGGCTTTTTACAGTGATTGTTATCATACTGTCTCTAACAATACTTTTTAAACATGTCTTTCTCCACCTCTCTGGTGAATTCCAACATGTATAATGAATATATACTGTCAAATAATGTTGAAAAATTCTCCTTCATGACATAGTAATATGACAGTGGGTTTCCCCATGGACACTTAGCCTTCCTTAGGGATTAATTCCTAAACTATATGCTATAGAGCACAAATGAATGTTAAGTGTTAATGGTTAATACGACAGTGATTATTATTCTAAATATTTTTAATAAATAATATATAAAATGATAAATTATATTACATTTCTCTTTATAATTATATTGTCTAGTTACGTATTTTCTAAGTATTTTACATCAAGAAAATTAGTAAACACATTTACAAAATTTGTATCAGTTTCTAAGATTATCAAACCCACATCAGAAACTCTATATGAAATTACCTGATACGTATGCATGTTGCTTGATCTGTGCTCTTGCCGAATTGTAAGTCATAAATTTGAAGATTATTTATCTTAAATTTAGAACATTCAAATATTACTATATTTTGTGCATCTGAATCTATTCTGAACACTTCATGCACCAAATTCGTCTGTGGGGCCAGTTGTTACCTTAATCCAAGAGAATAGCATCACATCTCTTGAGAACCTATAGATATTGCAGCAAAGTGTTGTACATGTGCAAGTGGCCTGTGGTCATGTAAGTTTGGCAAGTACTGCTTGGGAGCATACTACCGCTTACTTAAATGACAGTGCAGAGTAGAACTGGAGCAAAGCAGAACAAATAATGATTCACTCCTAAGAATTTCCCGGTACCAGTTAACTGAGTAATATTAAATCTTTCTCAAAGTGCTGCCATGTTGCACTGAGGAACTGTTTGTTTTCTAATTTTTATTATGCAATCGTCTTTGGTATTTCAGAACATGGAAATTATAACTTTACATGTAACTCTTGTTATAAACATATATACCATTTGATATTGTAGCTAGAAGCAGCAGACCTTTAAACAACTTGTATTTTTTTACCCCCAGCAATGCATCTCTTTGGCCTCAACTGGCAGTTACAGCAGACTGAAAATGACACATTTGAGAATGGAAAAGTGAATTCCGATACCATGCCAACGAACACTGTATCGTTACCTTCTGGTGACAATGGTAAGAGAAAGAATTATGTGTCCTGTGTTTTTCTTTTAACATCTTTTTTCACATTTCATCTCTTTTAACATTATAAATAAAATAAATTTATTTTTACCCATGTAACATTCATCTTTATATGGGAGAAGGAAAAGGTTTCGGAATTACAAATATTATCTTTTAATGAGTGACTTTTATTCATTTACTTGAAGGATTGGAAATTCACATTTTTATTATAGGAATAATACAGTGCTCTGCCTTCTGAGTCGATGGCTAGGCTTTTCTGCCTCTCCTTCCTGCGAGTGTGCATTTTGGTTTATTTTTAGTCTGTAAATAGATTATAATTCAGTGTATCATCTCATTACCTCGGCTATATTGAGCTTTCTTTGTTCAGCTAGTATGTGGAGTTGGAATACTATCTTCATTTTGTTTTAAAAGCTTTTACATACAAAACACATGAAAGGATTCTCATTTATTGACCTTTCCTCTGCTTGCCCTTTCTTTAAACCTTCAAAGGTTAAACTTTGAACTAACAGACTTTCAAATCAACTGGCTCTGAGTTTAAAAATGGAATTTAAGCGGTTAGAGAATGCTGTATTTCATTTTTTCAGAAAAATATGTACATATGTAAGCATGTTTATATCTGTCTATTATTTTTATATATGTGTGTGTGCTTGTATGTATGTCTTGGCATTTGGCATCCTCTGACTTTTTGCAAAATGTCCTAATACTTTATGTCTCAAAGCAACCAGATCAAGACACCTTTTCTGTCACGTGAGAAATACATCCTTTGCCTTTAAGCATTGCCCTGGCTCTTCTTCCTCTTCGTTTCTTCTTATCTGGTACTTTTGTTCTGCTTTGGCATCTCTTATGTTCACCCTCACGTGGCTAGTTTCTTTGCAAGACTAGAAAGAAGCTATAATATATTTATTTGTATTTATATATATGCTGCTATGTTACATGTACCCACTGGCTGTGACTAATGCTTTTACCATTTTTTTTTTTGTTCTTTCCCAGCTTCTGTTTTATTTTAACAATAACACTTTATGACACTCCTCTTCCTTCTTGGGGAGGCTGAGAGGTTTTATAAGACATTAGATTTTCATGGTAATAATAAATACCGCTACCCCACCCCCGTATGGAGTCTTTTGATACAAAGTGCTATACATTCCAAAAAACTATAATCTGGTGACTGATGACAGTGACAGTGGAAGTCAGTGCACAGTGGATTAAAGAGGAGTGAAGAAAAGCTTACCTAATTAAAATTGTTGGTGGGAAATTTCAATTAAGTGAAATATAATTACTTTAAACAACTGTTTAATTTTTTATGCACTGATAACACACACATGAACAGATCCATTACTACACAGAAATTAAGAGTATTTATTTTTGATTTATAGAGATTGCAGTTTAGACTGTCTTTTAAAGTGCATTGTTCCCATGAAAATGGCCAGACCGCACTTCTTAACCACACATGCGGGAGCTCCTTTACAGACTGAAGGGAAAAATGCTTATCGTAGACGTTTCGTTTATTTTACAACATCCTAGCCTTTTATTACGATCAGAAGGAAAATAGAGTGTGGCTAATGAGTGTCACAGCCCTTGAAATGTGTGATATTGAGAAAACTGTGGCTTCAGAGACCCTCCCACAGCCTCGGTGCTGGTTCTTGGGATTTTCTATTCTATTTTATTGAATTTCCCATTTATCACAAATGCTAGTTGAAACTCACTCAGATAATTTTGCAATTTACAAAGGATTGTGGGCCACAGTTTCAAAAACACGGCTCTGAAAGTCCACTTCCCTAAGAGGGACTGAAGTTCCCATGTGATCACAGAACGCATGGGGTGCAGTTGACAGGTGCCAGTGGAGCAACTGAATACAGTGATTCCCCTACAGACAAACGAGCTCCGTTCCAAGAGCGCGTTCGTAACTCCAGTTTGTTCGTAAGATACAAACGAGCTCCGTTCCAAGAGCGCGTTCGTAACTCCAGTTTGTTCGTAAGATACAAACGAGCTCCGTTCCAAGAGTGCGTTCGTAACTCCAATTTGTTTGTAAGTCTAACAAAGTTAGCCTAGGTACCCAACTTACACAGTCGGCTACATAGTACCATACTGTAATAGGTTTATAATACTTTTCACACAAATAATACATAAAAAAACAAACGCAAAAAATAAAGAACACATTTTTCATCTTACAGGACAGTGCCTTGGAAAGTACAGTAGTCCAGTACAACAGCTGGCACACAGGGGCTGGCATCCAGTGAACAGGCGAGAAGAGTTACTGCCTGGAGGAGGGAGAGGAGGTGGGAGACGGTAGAGCTGAGGGATGGTCAGCCATAGGGGACAGAGGGCGAGCTACAGTGTTGCTCACGCCTGACGTTGATGGTACAGGTGCTGGTTCCTTGCTGGAACCAGATGCACATCCGCGTCTTTGAAAGTGCTCAACATGAAGGTTCATACGTAGGGGACTTACTGTATGCGTGTAAATGAAGGACCATCTTCCTAGCCTCCCACATAAGGAGGAGATGACAGATGCCCCAGAATGAGTTAGATATACTGGAGAACGGATCCTACAGCCTGCCAACCGGACAGGGGCATTCGTAGGAATTTCTCTTTATGGAAAGAAGGCTATCTCGGGGCTCAGAGTTTGTCCAAAGTGTGACCTAAATAATAGTCTCACTTGTTATCTTTATTATTTTTCCAGTAGCCCGAAAAACCCTAAATTGGTAAGGAATTCTTATTTTCGTTTTTCCAAGTAAAGGTTCTGGGTATGTATCTCTTAAATACTTATTTAAATACCAGAGTGCAGCGGGCAGCAGGGGACTGTATTTGCAAGAAGGGAGGTACCTTACAAACACTGCTTTTAAGCATCCCTGATGAACCGGCAGAGACCGTGCACCATCATCTGCTACTTCAGTTTTATAAACTGTGCAGAGAACCAGATCACATCATCTCTAGAAACTCTAGGAGATTGTAACCCTTAAGAAATTCTTGCAATTCTGAATGAGGCTCACTGGGAAAATTAACCGTGCTAAGCATGATGGGGAAATTACTTTGTGGCTTCTAGACGCAATGCTCTTCTTTATGCAGTCCTGTTTTATTCTTATTTTATAAGTACAATTCTAAGGAACAGTCATGGTGCTAACAATCATGGTGCTCAGCTCCCTGCTCGCTTGTAAGTGAATACTGAACCAAAGCTTCTAAATGGTATTTAGTATTTAAAAGAAGAATTTCTGTTACATGCCATGATTCTTCCCTGATTATTCCTAAGACGTTCTTTGACTACAGATTTTAGAGATGAGATGTCAAGTGTGAGGTCTCAGGCAAAACTGATGGAAGTGGGCAACGTGAATAAAGAGGCAAGGATGAAGTTTTTAGTTCAAACACCCGTCTCTTTCCAGAAACTAAAATTATTCCGCTGGATCGAGGAATTCACTTAGCCTAATGTGCTGGAGAGCATCGCGCAGCCCTGTATTCAAATCCTAGCTCTTTCATCTGTTTACTCTGTAACCTTGAGCAAGTTACTCAACCTCTCTGAGCCTCAATTTCCTGCACGTAAAGAGGGAGTAATGCCTGTCTCTCGGCTGGTCAGCTTCAACAGTCGGGCAGCCCTTCTGTGTTTCCCTTGCAAGCTCTCTCCCCACACGTCTCAACGGTTGTTTCCAACTCTCCTACTATCCTCGAAGCTTCAATCCCTCAGCTCCCAGCAGATGACCTTGTGTTCTGTTCAGCAAAAAAAACAGAGACCTTGATTTCCTGTAAACACAGCTCCATTCCTATGTACATCTCGATCTGTCTTTCCATCCTTTTCTTACTAATCTTTCCAAGAGCGTTCTTGATCCCATTCTGTACTTCAGAATTTCCTCTCTCAACTGGCTGGCACCTTCCAATCAACATTTGAACATTCCCAAGTCTCTCAAGTCTTAAAAAAAAGAACCCTTGAGTCTGCCTCCTACCCCTGCCCTACCCCATCCTTCTCTTCTCCGCGCGTAGCCAGCCCTTCTGGAACACGGTGTGTACATTCGCCGTGAAGTCACGTCTTCACCTTCCACTTACTCCTGTGACAGTGTGGCTTCTTCAGGCTCCTTCCTCATGACTGTCCTCTGCCACCATCACTCACAGACACGGATGTCTTCCCGACTTATCGGTTGTCCTGCCAATAGCATCAGTTGATACTCTACGCTCTTTATCACATTTGAGCTCTTGGTAGCATTCAGTAGGTAACCTATCACTCCTAATTGAAATAGCCTTTTCCTTAGCTTCTGTGATACCATTTCCACTTTCTTCCTGATTTTTTAGCAGTGATTTCTCAGTTTGTTTAGTTGACTCATCTTCCTCTACCCGATCCCCAAACATTGCCGTCACTCAGAATATAATCTCTCTGGGTCCTCAGATCCATTCTCCCGACTTCATTTACATTCCATGTGCTATGTGTTATGTCACATTCTTTGTGCTCCCAAATCAATAAGTGCAGCCTGGATCTCTCTGTCTTGGAGCTCCAGACATCAACTATGAAAAATCTATCCAAGTATCTTTAGAAAATCCCCACTTGGGTGTCTTCCAGGCATCTCAAACTCCATATGTCTAAAATCGAACCCAACAACCAATTTGGTTATCCATTACTGCCTAACAAGCCACATCAAAGTCCAGTGGCTTCAAAGAACAGTTTGTTATCATCTCTCATGGTTCTGTGGATTAACTGGGTAATTTTTGTTTTTTTGCTTGGGTCGCTCATGAAATTGCTTTCAGATGTTTCTTGGTCTGTTTGAAAACTCCACTAAACTGAAATTCAAGGTAGCCCACTCACAGGGCTAGCAGTTGATGCTGTCTGTCGACTGGAACGTCTAAACATGGCCTTCCACTTGGTTTGGGCTTCTCAGAGCACAAGTTCTGAAGAGGAATGTCCCCAGAGGGAGCATTCCAAGAGACCCAGACAGAAGTTACAAGGCTTCTTATGACCTAGAGCATTGGACACTCCGGGATGTCACTTCCATCATATCTGCTTGGTCAAGAAAGTCAGT